AAAATTCCCATCGAATTTTAGTGAAATTGGGGAAAATTTCACAAGTGGAATTCCGAGGAATTTCTGGCTAAAAACTTTTAATTTCGGTGCAATTCCCATGTGATGATATGAAATTTCAATATATTTCTGAGGAATTTCGGTGAATTTTCAAGAAATTACTTGAAGTTTCATTAATATTCCCAGAAATTTCTGACTATTGAAAGAGAATTTCAGTGGAATTCCGAAAAATTCTTATAGAAATAAATAAAATTTGTAACAAAATTTCATTGGAATTTCGAGAGATTTTCGACTAATAACGGGGAATTTCAGTGAAATTTCAAAAAATTATTGTGAATTTTAGTGAAGGGCCAAGGAATTTCTAAGAAATTACAGGATATGTCAATGAAATTCCAGGATATTTCAGTGGTGAAGTTTTGGGGAATTTCAGTAAAGTTTTAAAAAAATTATGGAATTTGGAATTTCTTTAGAATTTTGGAAAATTTCAGTGAGATTTCGAAAAAAAAAAAAAGAATTATGAAATATTCGCAGAATTTCCATCAAATTAAAATATATACAGGGTGTTCCTAAATATCATGTACAAACGGAAGGGGGTGATTCTTTGGATTATTTTATGACTAAAATTACTAATAAACATAGGTCCGCAAACGCTTCGTTACCGATCTACAGGGTGTTGAAATTTTAATACATTCATATTGAAAGTGAGCAAGAATATGGCGGCGAGGGGTGTCTCACTTATAGATTCCTATTGAAAATGAGCAAGAATATGGCTCTATTCATACGTCACTGTAGGTAGAAAAGGTTTATTAAATTACTTTAGTTTCATCTATCTAATTACAGAGATTTGTTCTTTAATTTTTGTCTCGATAAGGGTCGGTAACACGAAAAAACTACAAGAGAACAAAAAGTTTCTAAATAAAATAGAAAAATTATTTTGTTTTTTAGAATCGATGAGCGGCGCACCGCGAAAAAGTTCAGGGGCAGAAAAGGAGGCATGACCCCTGAAAAAACATCACCCTATAGATTCTGGCAAACGTTTGACATGTGCAATCATCCAGCTCCTATTGCGTAACCTATATTCCAAATTTGAGCTAAATCCCTCAGAAATTGCAGGAGCTATAAGGAAAAATTTTAAAAAATATTTAAATTTCAACACTCTGTAGATCGGTAACGAAGCGTTCGAGGACCTATGTTCATTAGAAATGTCACTCATAAAATAAACCAAAAAATCATCCCCTTTCGTTTGTACATGATATTTAGGAACACCCTGTATAATTTCACTTTGCGCCGACTTACATAAAATTTCGATAAAATGTCGAGTAAAATTCCAAGGAATTCTCGTCGAATTACATACATGGAATTCCTTGAAATCTTATTGTGGAATTCCAGTGAAATTACATGGAATCTGAAGAATTTCCTTGGAATTAAACAGAATTTCCGTGGAACCACGAGAAATTTTGGCGGAATTCCGAAGAATTGAATTAAATTTTAGTGAAATTCTGAGTAATTTCTGTCGAATTACATAAAATTTTAGTGCAATTCCCAGAAATTTCATGAAATCTTTTACTGTAATTCCGAGGAATTTTTGTACAAGAATTCCATTGAATTTTATGGTGGAATTCCATGGAATTTTATGGTGAAATTCGGAAAAGTATTATGAATTCTTAGGGTAAAATTTCTAGGACTTTCTGTTTTTCTATTCAAATTTGTCATTTGAATCGAATTTAGAGGAATTCCATAAAATCTTCTAGTGAAATTCTAAGGAATTTTTATGGAATTAGCAAAAGTTTTCGCAGAATTCCCATGGAATAACTTAAATTTTAGTGGAATTTCGAAGAATTTCTTGAAATCTCATAAGTAGTGTAATTCCGAGGAATTCCATTGTATTTTATGGTGGAATTCCATAGAATCATATCATGAAATTCGGAAAAGTATTATGAAATCCTATAGTAAAATGTCTAGGAATTTCCGTTTTTCCATTCAAATCTGTCAATTGTCAATTGAATTTAGAATCTATAAAAACTTTTCAAAAACCCCTAAAATGCTCCAGAATCACCTAAATTTTTGAAAATCTAAAATCTTCTGAGCTCCTGTAAAATAATACATAAAAGTAATATTTTAGGGAGTTAACCACCCCTCGGAATAATTATTTCAGAACAGAGAATGTCAAAATGAATTAAAACCACAAAAATGTAGGAAAAAGTACAGAGTGAGGGAGTAGCTTAAGAGGAGTTTTGAACTACGTAACTCTCAAGCGAGTTCAGTCATAGAGGGACGTTTTCTGAAAAACTATATATGAACTAGCAACCATGTTGAAAATCCTAGTGATCCTTGGGTGGGTGACTAATGAGAAAGAAAAACTTTTGCCATGGGAAGCCAGAAACTCGAACTACATACTTCCTTGGAAAGTTGAAACTAGGTATACAACTTTTCAATCATGTGTGAATGTTGGTTGTGGATGGATATAATATGCCCAAACTTGTCCAGGTTCGGTAGAGTTATCGTGTGTATTTGTATGTTCATTGAAAAAAGTTACATATATATTATGTACTACAAGTTAGTACATATTATTTTATTTGCAGTTCCCATTTAGAGATGATGGTGCAGAATGCCTGAGCTAAAATAATAAAAGTTATTAATTAAATTTTAGATAGTAGCTCTTTCCGCAATATGTAGGTACCAGGCAAGGTTGTTTGAGAGAGGTAAGTTGTAACATAATGCAAATCTCCATAAGGCACCCCAGTTCGACATCAAATTACCCATTACTAGACAACCTATGAACTTTAAGAACCTTGGGTACCAGAGGTACTTCCTGAATAATCTCTGAAAAGACCCTAATTTCAATATAACACAAGATATTATTTTTTTCAAGCGCACTATATGACTGCTTACTCTATAAACTTTTGAAAAAATATTACAAAAGTCCTTACCGGCACTTGCAGCAGCTGGTATTGGTGCCCTGCATGTGTGGCAGAAGCACTGCATCACGGATTCCCTTACTAAACCAATCAGCATCTTGAATCCTGATTTTTGGTTGTTTCTTATTGAAAAAATTGACTTTAAGTTATAAAAAAAAAATCACGATTTTTGTAATAGTGGGTTCCGCGTCGATCCTCACTCAAATTGAAACTGGCGTTTCAGCAGGGCGTCGCGGCGCGTGTCACGTCGATTCCGGCGTCGCCGTCATATAGAGCCTCTCTTTCCATCCCTGTATCGGTCGATTCAGGAAATCCACCCTCCGAAACGCAATAAATATATTATTTCCGGGATTAACTTTGGCATTGAATATGCAGAAAAATGCCTGATGTATATCCTAAGTACCAATGAAGGTTGAAAAATCAGGTTTGATACGTAGGAAGTAGAATGCAGACAAAATAAAACCAGAAACGGTGACGCATTTTAGCGTGAACGGCAACAATATAATGCAGAAATCATGGTGCCGAATATGGTCAAACCGGATCGAATCTGGTAAGATCTCGAGCCTTTAGACAAGACGAGGTTATTGACCAAAAATCTGAACACAGTAACACATTTTTGTGTGTTAAAGCAAAAACGCATCGTCTTTATTAGATACGACAAAATTCCCATTATAATGCCATCAAAACCATAACCTGCCGCAAAAAAGTAATATCGGCACAAGGCTTCTGTTGGAAAGAATGGAAACTTCCAGGAAAAATTTGATAAAAGAAAATGCGAAAGGCGGGGGGAATTATTGGAAAACGATTATACGACTTTCATAATAAATGTAATAATCCACGAGAGGGTTCGTTTGTTTCAGGCTCGGGATAAAATTACCTTAGTATTATTGTATAAGGGATTTTTTGAAATTCTGTTAAGATTTAAATAGAATTTGTATGGTAGAGTGGCAGTTGATTGTTTTGTCTAGACTATCATTTGTAAACCACCCTAAAAAATGTGTATAAACCTATGGTATAAACACTAGAATTCCATTTTGTATCGGAATCAGTTAAAATCCGATAGAATTCTACAGAATCTTTTGTAGGAGAAACTATTTAATTTATGTTTGTTCTGTATAATGAAATTATTTATTGTGGCTCTATTAAGTGGGTACTTAGGTAGTGCACTCTCTGGGTAAAGTTTCATATAGAAAAAAAGTTCTCTAGCTTTAGCGTTGTTTGAGTTAGATGCCTTTTAGAGGTAAATTGGATGAATTTCAACTATGAAATTTCTTGTAGAGAAAAACGATGTCATCACCATCACCTAGGGCCGGTTTCTCAATAACGAGTCACTCCCATGTTAGGCATAACTCCAGGGTAAACATAGTAACTGGACACGCTTACCCTGGGGTTAAATCCAACCTGGAGGTGACTTGCTATTCAGAAACCAGCTCCTAATGATCTAGTATCTTTTTTCTACTTCAGAGGGACTTTGCTACAAAAAATCGGATTCTGGTATAAAAATTGATGATCAAACCTCAGTTTTAGGTTCCTACCCACCTATTAGGTATATTATGGTCATATAGTGATTTTTGTCATCAATCAGACCACGATAATTTGACTGCGTTATGGTAAATTTTATTAAATCTTAGGAAAGAAATTGTATTAAGGCGAGTCGCCTATGCGTCACTCAAGTTTCCTCAACTTTTTTTTTCCTTTTCATGTCACGTGCAAAGACGCCCAGACGACGCCGCGACGCCCAACATTTTCCACCCCCTATACTACATTCGCACAAACAAGAAACTGAAAATCCCTAACAATTATTATTAGAGAGAATAGACAAAGTATTTTACAGCTTGCAACAGTATTTAGGAGTACCTATCTAAGTTATGTGCTGATGATGGTTATGAGATAAATAAATCGAAACGTCTTTGTTGTGACGTAATACACAACTCTGAAAACCGACTAAATGAGACGCGCCCTCCCTTTTCATTTGCCTTAAAACTATTGACCCACTTGGGAAATTTGGAAGTATAAAAATGTTGCTTTTGAGATTTTGAAATTACTTCCTAATTCGGTATTATTAGTAAAGAAAGATGAGCTTCCATAAAAATGGATTTTGACTCGAGAGTCTAGGGCTCAGTTAAAAAAAAGAAGTTGACTCGATGATAGATGTTGGTTCTCAATATCAATGAGGCTTGAGTCAATAATTCTCTTCTATATTTCAAAACTTAAGAAAAAAAAGTTTTACAAAGTGCAACCGCTTGTTTCCTCTCATTTCTGAAAAGATTTGGCAACGTTCATTCCTATTATTGTACATGCAGAGCCAGAATATCAAAACAAAGGGGGGACAAAAAAGAAAGGTTATGGTTTTGTTTACAAGCCTACTATACTACACTAAAGAAATGTTGTTTTATGAATAAATAACCATAAAACAGGCTTGCAAATAATAGAATTCCACGTTCAAGTAATTTTCAATACTCTAGTTAGTACCATTTCAATAAAACTACATTTGGGTATAAACCCTTGTTCTTTGTTTCATATTAAAGCTGTAATTACAAGATTTCCAAATGACCTCAGCTCCAACAAATGCAGAATATGCAGAATACATAATTTGTGATTCTTCTGAGTAAGTTTATATTGTTTTATCAGAATTGTCCGAATTTAATACTTCACTTATCAAATCCCTCTCAGTAAAGTAATTCTTATTTAAACTTCAGTGAAAGTGATAGCGGTACTCCAAAACCCTCCACTAGTAATGACCAATCCAAGGATCAACCTGAGGACCAATCCGAAGATCAATCACTCCAAACTGGAATTCAAAATGAAGCTTTCGAAGTACTTAGAACTACATCAGAGATATGTTTGAGAAACGGAATACCAATATGGTGCGGCCTTTTGATTGGAGAAATAAAAATGACTCAGAAATACGAATTATATCAAGTAAGTTTTAAATCAAACAGCCAAATTTTTGATATAATCTGTAAATTCCAGGAAAAAATGTTTGGTTACACAGAAGGCGCTGGCAAGAGCAGTCAACCCGAACCGACAAGAATGGCCAGCAAAGCTGTCATATTTATGGTAATATCTCTGATTGAAAATTGGAAAATTCCAGTTGGATTATTTTTCGTTCACGATCCAGACATCAAATATTTTGCTGACATTATTGAAGAAACCCTAGACAAGTTGCTCAATGTGGGGGTGGATATTGTTTCAGTGACAATGAACTGTCTGAGTCCCCATTTTGGCTTCAGTTTAGCTAATGAACTTGGTAAGTGAAGTCTTATTTTTTCAAAACAAAATAAGAAATGTTATATTTTAGGAGCAGAAATTGATGTAACCCAAGACCCCAGCACATTTAAGGCCTATTTTCAGCATCCCTCAAAAAAGAATGCTACAGTTCATATCATATACGATGTGGACATAATATTACCTGAATTGAAAAGTTATTGGTCTAAAAGTGATGTGATTTTTGATAAAGGCTATCCCATTAAACATTCATTCTGTGAAAAAATCAAAAAATATGAAAAACCTGATTGTTGGAGCAATACAGATTACAACTGGATGATTTTAAAGAAAAAGGTAAGTTGCCTATTTCAACCTGAAATCTTATGAGTAATCAATTTTTTTTTTTTTAGCTGTTATATGATGAGAATATATTAGGAAGGACCTATGCAGATGCCTTGACCTATCTGAAAGGCTTAGGACTACAGGAATTCCAGGGTACAGGCCCCACAATACAATTTATTCGAGTGTTATATTTTATATCACAAGTTTCAGAGGTAGGTTGAAAATAGTAACAAATATAATGCACTAACTTTTTTTTTTCAAGGTAAATGGCCTAGAAGGACAAATTTGGATTGACATGTCCCAAGCAAATGAACATCAATGGAAACCAGATGTAACAAAAACTATTGAGTATTTCAAAAACATAAATAGAAATAGAGAATTTCCTGATAATTTATCAGTTTTCAAAAAATATACAGTGGGTAAGTGAATTTTATATTAAAATAAGCTCAATAATAAATTTTCATTATTTCAGGTATAATGGTATATTTTATATCCCTGTATGGAATGTATAACGCTTCTATCCAGCCCCACTATAGAACGGTGCCAAATAGATATAGGTTACCAAGTATATTACCATCCAGGTTCGCATTGAAACATGTCAGGTTGGGGATTTTGGAAAAACCGTAAGTACACAATATAATCTTTAAATTGATTTAATTTGGTTGAATTATTCTAAAATTGTGTTCCTTTTCAGAAAATCAGGAACTGAACTATCTGCTCTGGGTATATTCAAGAAAATTAAAACAGCTACTAAGAATTTGCATCCCATTGACGCTGACAAAATATAATTATGAAGTAATAATTAGTATTTTTGTATTTTTTTTATGTATTAATAAATTTTTGTACTTACCTTTTCATATTTTGTTTAAAATTTACTTACCTATTTGGATTTAAGATTATTAGATTTTGTTAAATAGGTAGGTACCTATAATATTATTTTTCATGTACAAATTGTACATAAGTGAATGGTAAGAGAAATCATAAGAAAGTAAAAAGTTACTTACATTCACAAACTGGCATGTCAGCTACTGCGTTGGCCATCTGAAAGAATGGTTGAAAATAATAGGCAATAGGATTAAGCAAAGTCTCAAACTACTGTTTGAGACTTTTATAATTAAAGTCCGTCAATTTTAATCTGATACTCGAAATGAATGTGAGCTGCTGGCACCCTACATTAGAACGCCAATGGTCACCTAATGTCAGACCTGTTTTTGCCATATACTTCACCCCCTCGCTCCTCATACGGAAAGTGTCAGATAAAAATCGACGAACAATAATGAATGAGGTCCTTTTCAAAAAATCTATTACAAATTCTAGGAAACTGGATAATGTATGTACTTATTAAAAAAAAATAGAAAAAAATGCTTTCAAGCTTCGGGACTTTTTCACTGTGGGGAATCATGCACTGTTTTATTATTTTATAGGAAATGTATAGGGGGCAATTAGGGGGTCAATTCTATAAAAAAATAATATCAGAAGAATATTTGCATAATAAAAAAAAAATCAGGACCCTTCTGAGCATCATTGCAGATCTGTAGCGCTTCGATGCATCTCTGTTTTTATTATTTTTAGTTTCTCCAGTTCAAAGGACCCGTAAATATAATCAATATTTTTTTCATAAACCCTATAAAGAATGTATTTCTGCCCAAAATCACAAAAACTTTCATTATGAAGAACCATTTTCAGAGCCATGTTTAAGTAACACCCTCGATAACACCTGTGGCTTTAAATTACAAGTTTTATGCTTGAATCGCTGAAATATGCATGTACTTACTATCAACTCATAGACAAACCACAAAAAAAATGGAATTAATTGAAAATTTATGAAAAAACTACCTAGGAGAAAAAGGGCCCCCAAAAAACTTACCACAATGTCACCCCCCTCTATAAATACAACAATACAACTCTCTCTACTTACCTTATTCGATAAATATGCAGAATATCCAAAATACAAAGGAAAACCACAAAAGAAAACTAAAAATAGCCAGACGCACCTCTGACAAAGAAATTTGTAATATTGAAAAAGTACCAAACCAAGTACCAGTCAAACAAAACTGGACGTTTATAAACATAAAAAACCGGCAATTATTTCATTCACCGGGATCATCTTCCGTGTATTGCTGTCCCTTTCTAACACATTCGATAAACGCTAATTCAGAGTAGCCGGATCGGTTTGACAAAAAAAATACTCCAAAAAGAGATGCAACAGATATTTCTCTGTAACGGTATTGGTTGAACCCATTTCAAATTCCGCAGTGTGATTGGTTAGAACGTAGAACAGGATTAATTTGATTTTACAGTGCTGCCAGATCTACTGTTTCAGCAGTAGATCTACTGTTTTCATCCTTGATCTACTGTTTTTAGGAGAATACAAAATTGTTCAATTAATTTTGGACGAGTCTTACTTTTGAGCAATAATTTTTAATTTTGGTTGCCGATTTCGTGCACTTCGAGTACACGCGGTTAGCAAGGCGAACGTACTCTAACCCCAAGGATGAAACACACCTACATACAGAGGATCACTTATCGTCCTCGTTTTTGGTAATCGCTGCCGGTGTGTCACCATTTCCGATGTCATAAATAATTCTTCAGCTGTTTGAACAGGCTAGAAAAGGCAAGAAATAACATGCTGCCTACGTCATAACTGGTGATTTGTTGGGTGGGGGGAGAGGGAGGATTTGTTTCATACAGGCTTTATAAGGGATAGGCTATCCTGTAGTAGTAGTGTATATCATCCTTGCTCTAGCCCAGTCCTAGAAATTGTTCTTAGCTCCAAAGTCATGAATGTGACAAAAAATTGCTCTGACTCCACTCCAACTCAGAACTCATGGCATTTTCGGCTTCACTGCTCACACAGCGCTCCCCGTCTGGGCGGTGACATCACAGATCTCTGCGGAAGTTGTTCAATTTTTTGATTGTAATATATTTTAATATTCATATATTAGTTATTTTTGTTTTATATTTGAAATATTACTCAAAAAATTAATTAACTGACCAGTCAGGGTGAATTTCATTGGTTGAAAATAGTCAGAAACAGTCAGAAAACTAGTTTCAACCAATGAAATTCACTCTGACTGGTTTGTGATTTCTGCTGAAACAGACAGTAATTCCAGAAGTTAACTTTAAGCTATCTGTCAAAATAGTTTTAATACCTTTCTGTCACGTGATCTAGGAGTGATTAGGGTGAAAAATTAATACAGAACGACCGGATCGGTCGGAGCATAAATGTCAAACAGCTGATTTGTTTTGTTTGAAAAGAACAGTCAACCGTGCCTTATGGCGTTTCTGATTGGTAAATTCAGTGCGCACTGAGTGTATTTGCATCCTTTTAATCGACCTGTAGAAGAAAAAGACAGAAATAGAAAAAATTGCACTAGTTCTGCACTAAATCTACCAATCGGAAACGCCATTAGTTCCGATATGAACTGTCAGTACTGAAATTACTGGACGCCGTTCCGATATTATTTTCAGTACACTGGATTCAGTCGATTCACTACTGAATGACCACAAGAATACGCTGTTGAAATCGGAACGGCAAATGACAGTAAAATCAGCTCAGTAAATCCAGTACTGGCAGCTGATATCGGAACATAACCACGTGACTTCCAGTTTCCAATTTTTTTTTGCACTTTTTTCTTTGGACTTTCGTGTACTATAATGTACTTCAATTCCTGCACAATAATAATATGATGCTTTTGCCGCTGAAAGTGACAATACTGAATATAACACAAGCTTGACAGTTCACACATTTCACTTCTGCGCATGCTTACTCTTAAAAATTCTCTTTCCGAAGTGGAACTTTTGGAGTGAACTTCATTAACTCCACTCCATATAGTCGAACGCTAATAGAGTCACCCCTAATACGCCAAAAAGCAATACCCAAACGGCTGGAGTGCGAATGGAGTCACTCGGAGTGCACGGAGTGAGCAAGCCGATTCCACCTTTGGAAATGAAGCGAAAACAATATACAAAATGTGTACAATCAAAATTCGAACCGTGCGTTCGGTATTTTGATCTGAGTTCTCCGAGCTTGAATTTACCATTCGTTTAATTTAAAAAGTGTACTCGGTGCAGGCTCATTCGCGTTCGTTTATTAAAATTTCTGGCACTCTGATACAGCGTTCAACTGCTCTGTTCGCTCGCTGGTCACGTAATTACAGCTCCGGTCATCACGCTCTGCTTTTTGAGCAAAATATCGAACGCAAGGAAAGTAATATTCCAAAATTTAGATAGAGGATATAATAGTTGTATTCCTTTCACACCTAGGAGGAGCTCCGGAACAGCTCCGGGGCTTCACGCCCTTATTCCTTTGGAAAAGTGTTGGTCGTACCACGCATCTGTTCCCTGCAAATCGGGGGCTACTAAATACCGGAGCGAGTAGCTCGAGTGTTTCAAACTCTTGAAAGGAACACAACTAATTTTGACATACGCGGGCAGCGTGAATGCTCCACTCTCTAAGCTCCACTCTATGTGAATATTGCGTCATAATTCACGTATTCAGCTTTTGCGCCAGTTGTCATATACTCACTCTCACCCTTGGCGATAAAATTTAACTCTTCCCGAATCAAACCTTAAACGCACGAAAGCCAGCGCATCTGTTCCTTTCGGAGTCGAGTAACACCGGAACGCTTAGCTCCAGTGTTCTAAACTCTTGAAAGGAAAACAACAAACAACACTTCTGCCATAAGCCTAGTACTCAACTACGAAATTCGCACTTTTTTTCGCAGTTATGAGTACTAGGCTAAAATCTGAAATAAAACAGCTCAGTTCAAGTTAGTGCGACACGGACAAACCTACGATAAATAGAATACTATTAAATTGAGAATCATTAGAACATTATAAAATTATAAACTTTTTTGCACTAGGTGAAATGTTAGAATAGTTAGAGTAGAATCGGAGAGAAAAAGTGCATTTCTTGTTACCAACATCAAAATATTTAACATTTGACTTTTAATAACCATGGATTTTACCAATGAACTACTAATAGCGGTTTCCATTTGTCGAACCAGTGCAAAAAAAAAATGTATCCTTATCCTTACATGTTATAGGTACTGCTTTTCTTGCTTCAAGCAGATCTCATCAGCGGATCGGCGTTCACTTGTCCCATATAATAAGCTAAGCTCATAAATAGCAGCTCCTAGCAGGTCTTCCTGATTTCTGATTTTTCGAGCAGGTAGAAAGTACAAATGATAACAGCCTATGGAAATCTCACAATGGTTGAGTTCGGTTTTGCACACCACGGAGCAGAACGGTATGAGCTTTGATATCGTGACATCTTACGCGGTCATAAGCCCAACGCAAAAAAGAACACTCTGAGAGTTAAAACGAACAGGATCTTATCGTTTGTTTACAGAGTGTCAAGCCGAACTCAGCCGATGAGATTCGTATAAATAGCGACACATCTCTGTTAAGTAAGTGAAGTGAGATAAGAATGATAAGATTAAAGTGAGATCCTTGGTAGAGAGAATACGAGTTCCAAGGTTCCAAGTTCGGATATGACAAGAAGGAACAAACCTATAGAATCGATTCTGAACTAGTCCTACCTCTACGTAACAGTTAAACATTTTAAAGTAACCGTGCGTTCGTTATTTTGGTCTGAGATCTCCGAGCTTGACTTTACCGTTCGTTTATTTAAAAAGTGTACTCGGTGCAGCCTCATTCGCGTTCGTTTATTAAAATTTCTGGCACTTTTATACAGCGTTCAATTGCTCCGTTCGCTCGCTGGTCACGTGATTACGGCTCCGTTCAGCACGCTCTGCTCTTTGAGCAAAATACCGAACGCAAGGTTAATAGTTGTATTCCTTTCAAGAGCTTGAAACACTAGAGCTACTCGCTCCGGTGGCAACATACCGCTCAAATTCGAGTGGTATCGATAACGTGTCTCTTTGTTAAGCGGATTATAAAAGGTAAATCAACCTAGTATAAATATTTGACAGGTAGTTGGATTGCTTGAATTTTAAAATAACATTTTTCTAACCGTTTGTTTCCAATTGGCATTTTCAATAACGTCATCACTTGACATACTGCTACTAACCTTTTTATTTACGACTAATGTATAATAGAGAGTTATTGGACGTGCAACAAGGACAAGCAGTATTTAAATTAGCCTTATTTTGACATCTACACATGCGCATTTGAGTCTGAAAATAAGGATTACCTTAATAAGGTTACTGCTTGTCTTTATTTGTGTATGGTTAGTGCGAGGCAGTAAACTTCCCTTATTTCAAATTTCTGACATTTTGGACGACTTTGACATTTCGCTTTTCGACGGTGACCTAATTTTACTTGGAAAATGTATTTTTTACAGTAGTTTTCCATTTTACTGTAGGTAGCATCGAAAAATGAGTATCGGCAGAAAATCACAAACAAAAATAAACACTTTTTGAGGTTGAAATTTATAAACATAGCTATCAGCTGTCAAAATTATGAATACAAAATAAGGTAATACTCTAGCACCTACTACAGTCTTCCAATAACTGTTTTTTTCTTGGAAAAATAGTGCTGATGCACTAATAAAATAACGTAGATCCTTAATACTGCGAGGCAGTATTTATTAGTTCCAATAACTCTCTAATGTGCGTATTATATTTGTGATTTAGGCAGTATAATGACATATGTTATTCCTCCAGGGATTAATGACGAGTAGCGGGATTAATGGTATTCCACAAAAGTGTCAGTGTCAAACCTGTAGTGCTTGTGGATTTGTATTGAAAATTATGAGACGGATGAAATTTGTTCATTGAAAATCTCAAATAAATCAATTTGTCATAAATAAAGTAGAGTATACTACTCGCAATAATGGCTATTATTCCGTCGCTAACGCGGCTCAGTTCGTAATAATCCTCGGGAATAATAGCTATCATTATTGACTCGTGGTATAATCTACTATTGTAACCCGGTTAGTTTAAACCGGAGTCACGTGAAAAGAGCTATTGGTTCAAAATTACAATGTTCAAGACATACGGAGTTTGTTCAAATTCTTCCTCCTGCTCTAACCTTTACTTTCTCATATTCGAGTTTTGTAGCTACATAAAACAGTTAAATACAAATTTTAAAGCAAAAGTAATAACAGAGTTGTGGGGCAAAAAGTCGATTTCTTTTTAAGGAAAAACAAAGATTCCATCCATTGCTGATTGTCTTCGGACATTTTCGAACGTACCCCAGGAGTGCGTTTAGAAATGGAGTGTGAGGGTAGAGTAGTTCTAGACGTCATCACTTGGGGTGCACTCTGGGTGCGCTATTTCTGAACGTATCGGGTCATTGCGGTAAATGTCAACGTCAAACCCGGTAAAAACCGCAGGGCGTTTTTTAACCCAGTCCCTGAGTGGAGTAATTTTAGAGTGGACGTGCCCAGAGTGCGCCCAAATTACCCCACTCAGGGATTGGGTTGAAAAACGCCCCGCGGTTTTTACCGGGTTTGACGTGAATAAATAGGTTATTTTCGATTATTCTTGACATTTACCGCAACGCCCCAAAACGTTCAGAAATAGCGCTCCCAGAATGTACTCCAAGTGATAACGTCAGAACACTCTGACAAACAACCAATGAACTATAGTCAAAAACTGGAATGCGCATACATTGCCATATCTGCCAAAAAAATGTAGCCATGAGAGACAGATGCCACAAAGGGGAATGTTGTTTTTTTCTGTTGCTCGCTGACATATGACGTTTTCGAAAGTTTTGTCATATTTCCCTTCACAGGTTTCATCAATTGGAATACGTGTTGGAAGCAATTTTCGCCATTTAACATAATGAGTGCGACAAAAACAGGTATCCCCTCCGCAGCAGCCGCACTAGGCTTCACGTTCGTCCTTATGTGTTAGCATTCCAGTTTTTGGTTATAGTTCATTGCAAACAACTACTCTACCTTCACACTCCATTTCTAAACGCACTCCACAGCTGCTTTCCAGTATGCACATTGGCTCGCTCTAGAGCACCCCGGGAGCGCTACGCACTAGATTTGTACCGTACAGTATCATGACGTGTGACGTTTCTCCGTGCGTATAGCTCGGGAGCTCAACGCTCCGAGTAACTCCAAGCGTCACACTACACTCCCATACTGAAAAGCGGCTCAGGGTGGGATTCTCATCATCTAGTCGCAACCTATCGTCACAGCTTCGACTCACTCGTAGAAAGGTAATGGGATGGGATAGTCGGGACGATAGGTTGCGACTAGACGATGAAAATCCCCCACCAGCTGTAATTTACGAATGTCAAAATTGTCAAAATATAGAAAACGCGGGAAACTGACCTATCAGATATTTTTGTTGTTTGTTTAAAAAGGGGCGAAATCTTCTGTGGGATTCCCAAACATCTGTACAAAAACTGGGCAAAATTTCAAATGGACGAAGTTGATGGTAATTGTCTAGGAAAAATGCAAGAGTCTAATGAAAATATGCAGGAGTCGAATGGAAATAATTCGCCACTTGTTGAGTAAGTTCATTAAACTTTTTTGAGCAACAGGTGACTCATTTAAACCTTTTGTTTGAATTTTCTTCAATGGATTACCTTATGCTTTCTTGTAACAATACTTCATTTTAGGGCAATAAACAATAATTACAATGAGACTGAGACTTCACAAGCCGAAGCCGCAATTGGCCCCACAGATAACTATTACAAGATGGACCACGAATATCGTGGCCTACTAATCATATTCAATCAAGAGACTTTCAATAAAGACACAAATCAGGCGCCTAGAACTGGGACTGACGAGGACGTAAGAAAAATTCAAAACTGCTTTACTGCTTTGGGTTTTGTAGTTCATCCTTACAAGGATATGACTTTGGAGCAGATAAGGCAACACATTAGAAAATGTATGGGGGTAAATTTCATGTTTGAACTTGTATTGAAAGTTGTTTTGTAGATGTGCTGCATGATTATTACCACAAAAAAAGAGACTGCTTTGCTATTTTTGTTCTCACTCATGGCAATAAAGATGAACTGTGGGCAAAAGATACTTATTATGATCCGGCTGTTGAATTGTGGGGACAGTTTACTAGTGACAAATGTCCTTCTCTAGCTGGTCTGTACTTGAATACTGCTTTGATAATATTAACAATAAACATTGCTTTACAAATAATGCTTATTGGCTGAAGTCATAGGTAAAAGAATAACATTCATTGGGGCATGTCATAACATAACTCATAAGTTCATTTAAAAAAATTTAAAATTTGATCCCTTATTTATTAAATAAGTATACTTTTTTTAGGAAAGCCCAAATTATTTTTTCTTCAAGCTTGTCAGGGGCAAAATTTTGATTATGGTATAAAATTGGAATTACCTCGATTGAAACAACCTGGTTACACAGAATTTGATGGGCACTTTTCTTACAATTTACCTGTGAATGCGGATTTTTTGATTTTCTATGCTACTTATGAAGGTAAGTAAAGTTTATTCTTAATCAAAAAAAGGTTTGTTCTCATAAACCAAAGTCAATCAGATCTGATTGATTTTGACTTATTAGAAAACTATTTAGGTTACTATGCATTTCGTAATGATGTTACTGGATCTCCTTGGGTCACAATACTCTGCCAGGAGCTGCAAAAACACCACAAAAATTCGGACATATTGACTATTTTGACTTTTGTCAATCGGCGATTGGCTATAGAGTATTCATCGAACAATAGCAGTGAATCAAGCAAAGATGGCAAAAAACAGATATCGTATTTTAAAAGTTCCTTAATCAGGCTGCTGGTTTTTGGAGAAAAATGACTTGTGATTTACATACCTGCCTCAATCTAATCTCAAACTAGTCCTAAGCAGAATTTTTTTATTATTCTATTTATTGAGAATTTGTCTAGTTCTTAAGTTTCATACTTTCATATGTGTATTGATTTACTTTGTACATACTGTTGGATGCCATTGATCCCAACCACTAATTTTTAAGAAAAAATACCTAATATAATAGCTATAAATATTTATTTATCAAAAAAAGTTTTTTTTTTCTTCATAAAATTTCCAAGTACTTAAAACCACAGGATTTTAAAATGTTGGTAAACTTTATTCCTCAGCAGTAGTAAAAGAAGCAACAGAGGGAAGGGCCGACATAGCATCCTGGAAACTCTGGGCAGTGAAATCGTCAAAGGAAGCCAAGGAAATCACTGCAAAAAGGACCATTGCGATATTGTATTTGTCTTGCGGTGCCATGCAACATTGGTAATCTTGTCTTCTGTAGACACAATAGCTGGAAAATTGTTCACAATTAATTGTTATTGTATGCTTAAGTTCCCATGGATTTCAAGCTTATTTTTCAATTAAGACACCTTTAAATTTAAAAGCGGTCACAAATAGTCTTTTCCATATACAGGGGTATTGTTGGTTTTTAAAAAATGTAATCAAACAAGTAAAAGAAAATTTTTGTATTTTTGTATTTGATACCAGTATCATAACTTTTGGCGAAGGCGCAAGTTACACAGTATGAGTGTTTGAAAAAAATTTAAAAAAGCCTTGATTGCTTATAGTTGTAACGCCCATTTGGCTGTGACGCCAATGCCCACAACACAATCTGGGAAAGTACGGACACAAATCTAAGAATTGAGCAACTGTTAGAATTTATCTTTCAAACAAACCCAAATATACTATAAATGTAAGGAATACACCAACATTTGTTACTAGGGTCAGACAGGAGGTGTTAGACATAAGACTTTGTAGTCTAAATATTGACCAAATGATCAGGAATTGGAGAGCTTCCAAAAAACCCTCTCTCTCTGATCACAGAATCATAATGTGACGTAAAAGGAGTGCAGAAGCGAACCACTTCGTATAGAAACCCCAGAAAAACAAAATGGGAAAAATATACTGACAAGGCGGGGTACTCTCACCTTTGATGTGGAGTCTAGTGGTTGAGGACCTCTTAAATTTATTGACCGATCAGGGCTTCACCTGCTTTGGATACGCCGATTATATTGTCATCATGACCAGAGGCAAATACAAGGAATACTTCTCGACCTTATAGAAAAAGCACTTCGAACCACGAAGGAATGGTGTCAGACAGTAAGGCTGAATCTAAACTCAGCAAATCCACATTGATAACATTTACAAAAAGAACGAAACTCCCAAACCTGAGAAGCATTCGCCTCAATGGAAACAGAAAAAAAAAGTTAAATTCCTAGGAATACCCCTAGATTCTAAGCTTCTCTGGAACCGATATGTAGAGAACCCAAAAAACAAAGCAATCTCGGCACTTATGGTCTGCAAAAACATTGCGGGTAAAACATGGGGTTGTAACCCATCAATCGTAAGATGGATGATAATGAGACCTATCATCACGTACGTTATAGCCGAACCCAGTTAGTAACAGCAAGGAAAACCCTAGGAAAAGTGCAAAGACTCACGTGTCTCTGTATAACAGGAGCAATGAGATCATGCCCAACTGCGGCACTAGAAGTCATTCTAGACCTCACACCACTTCACATAATAGTAAAGCGGGCTGAGAGTGGAACATGTCTCAGACTGGAGACGATAGGTCTACAAAGGGAAACGCACCTTGGCAGAACTTTTCCTTTCCCAAACTGTGCAATCCTCATAGATCTACCAATAGACGTGAATGTTGATAAATTCAGTTTCGAGAAAAGCTGTTCTATTCCATCGAACCAAATACAAAAAACAGATCGAACATGGAATCTATCCAATCCCTTAAAGCAAACACCATCAAATGGTACACAGACGGTTCCAAAACTGCTGAAGGAACTAGTGCCGGAGTATTCAGGCCACGGATCAAATACTCGGAGCCAATGGGTAAATCATCAAGCCATATTTCAAGCGAAACTTCATGCGATCGGAAGATGCGTATAGTTCAACCTGAACAGAAGTTTTCGGAAACGAGAGATTGTAATAATGTCTGACAGCCAAGCAGCTATCAAAGCATTAAGATCCCTGGTTATCAATTGTAAGATAGTATGGGAATGTCTACAGAAACCAAATGAGCTAAGGAACAAACAATGGCTAGAATAGCCAGGACTACGATCGACCAAAGATCTATTGGGCAACTTCAACTAAAAAAGATTTTCCCTCAGGACATTGCAGACTTAAAAAACACCTACAGAAGTTGGGGTTAGAAGAAGGTGGCACCTACAGATTCTGTAAAGACGGAGAAGAGCCATTTCACCATCTTCTACCGAACTGCGATGCCGTTGCCGTTAGTCGCTTAAGGATGAAGAACCTGGGAAGTGCCCTTATACAGTTGGAAACATTCCAGCCCTGAAACCGCTAAATATCCTAAAATTCCTAAAGGACCTAGGACTGAAGGGGTAGGAAACCCGAACTTAGCAGCAGAAGGAAGGAGATTCACCTTGGTCGCGGTGCAACTGACACATCCAACACACACATACACACAAGGCCCATTTGAGAACTTGTAAACAACCTCAGCCTTAATTCTAAGGCTTATCACAAAAAGTTAAATTCTTACCCTCCAACAACAGCAAGGGTAGCCAATAAAGTAAACGGATTAACATTTAGTAAGGCCATGCACAAAAGGCTAAAACCATTAACGAAAATAGCCAGATCAGTTAAATCTTGTCTGCGACATATTCCAAAGACAAACACCAAAGCGGCCAGTATTCCTAAATAAAATAAGTCATAATAAATGCATTATAGAGTTGAAATTATCTGTACCTAATCCAGCGTGTGCAGCAGCAATCTCTGGAGGCCCCATTTCGTACTTCATCCACATTTCAGCTGCATAGCAAGGTAAAACCAGCACCAATTGGAAATAGTCCAGAAGGTTTCTTAGAGGACAAAAAGATTCTTCATCACTTACTGCAAAAAAAAAAAACATAATCAGTTTATTTATAAAAAACTAAAGAATCACTTACAGAACTCTGTGAATCCACACAAGGCATTAGCCAGCATCAACGTGTAGGCGACCAGTTGCCAGTGCCAGAAGCTGTTTTCTGCTATTTGGGTGAAGTATACAAGCAGGGCAATTGCACTGACGATGGTCAGTAAGGTGTAGGAAACTCCAGCTACGATAAATGAAAATTTGGGGTGTTGTTTGATTTTTTCGAGGAAACCTTCCGGGCGTCTGGACGGCATACTGGAAATTTTGTTGCCAAAAGTTGGATTGAAATTTTGACGATTTTGACTTGAATTTTTAATAATGACACAATTGTGACATTGGTAAAAGGTGAATTTCTGGTACTTAAGGTGCCTAATAAAATGAATTCCTATTATGCTTCATCATCATTTTCAAAAGAAAAAAGTTTCTAGATAAATTTTATCATCAGTTTTTTTTAGGTCCTGCACGTGTAGTGGGCGTGCGTCTCGTTTTAACATGACAAAAACTGGAAAAAGGGGTTTTGTTGGGAACTTAACACAGCAATCTCCCCTCATTTTAATCCTTTTTGATAGGAATCAAGTGTCCGTTGCCAATCGATCATGTTTCACTTTCGATCAGAAACTGATGTATCATCGCCGTTAAATGGCACTTTTTTTTTAATAAATAAGGGATTATCATTATACTGGTGTACAGAAGCCCAGGGGGAATATAAAATTAAATGCCCTGTGAATTGGATTTCAGGCAGAATCAGAAAGATTTTGACGAACTTAAATGATGAATCAATCAACAATACATATAATAGTGTAAACTTTCAAATTTTATTCAACAAATTATAACAAATAAAAGTGACTAGAATAATCCATATTAATTTCCTGAGGGTAAATTTTTATATTCGTCATCAAAATATTGAAAATCATCAAAAAACTTTCCCGTTTTTGATTCGACATCTTTAATTTCATCCAAAACTTCTTTTAAACACCTCACAGCCTCTAAATAGTCTCTATTTGATGATTTCCCAAAATTTTCATGCTCAATAAACTGTCCAGATAAAGCTCTGAGTTCCTGATAAGGCAAAATCAATAAATTCCATTGGTGTACAATATTATTTATAGTCATTAGGCTTCGTTTAATCGAAGATTGACTTTTCAAAACGCTTTTCCGAAGTCGATCGTGGTTGCATGGATTTGTTGCTGGTTCTTTCAATTTATAATTAGGCAGAAGTGGTGGCTGAGCTTTGGATAATTTAATTTTTGAAAAATTTATGGAGTCTATGGTGTCTAATAGGCAGTTTTTGAAGTCGTTTTGAGCTTTTTGAAAGGTTTCGTCGCAAATTTTGTAGTCCATTAGCTTTAGTAGATAACTAAAATTTCAAAAAAAAAAAAAATGATTATCGTTCAGCATCACATGCATGAAAATAAATCATTTGTTATGTTTGACTTATTTGATTTGAGTCAAAACCATGTAGGGTTTTAGAAATCTAATACACATTCCTTTGGATATCTATGTGGATACCAAAGTACTTAAGTAGTAAATTTTCTTGAGGTTTTAGAGATAGGTAGAATATTTCGATCTTTTAAAATTTTATAGGGTCAAGCAAGATAAAAGTAGGTGAGCCTGAGAATTCAATAAATTAAGATTTTACTGTAAAAGTTAAGATTCATAGGAAATGAGATGAAAAACTTATTTAATTAGTTTATAAAAATAAGCTTTACCTCTATTGAATGAAATATTTTATTTTAAGGTTAAACCAATAACCACTTAAAAACTTTAGTAAGAGAAGCTCAATAAGCTGCTGCGCAACTTGATCGAGGTCGTATCAGTACAGTGCCGTATCTATTTTCTGAAAATAAAAAATTGCAGCTTCATTTTTCAAATATTCTGTTATTTAAAAATTACCCAATCAATTATTAAGAACCCCAGAAGATTAAGTACGGGTGTTACCCCATTATTTGTATAACGTGCCCCAGTTTAGGAATCATGATTAGTTGTCTATATTATTTGTCTTCTCCTCCTACTGCCCTAATGTAGGACGTAAAATAAATAAAGGACAGGAAACGACCTTTTATTGTGCGCGTAATTTCAAAAGAGTGTGACCAATTTGTGCAACAACAATTAGGCAAAGATTTATGTGACTTGGAAACGTGTTAAATGCTACATTTCAAGGGATTTAGATAAAACGTATGATGACCATGTATAATTTTGTTATACCTGAAAGCTTTCTCAAAATAGAGGACTGTAAAATATGGTTGTCGTTTTCTTTGTAAAATAATAAAAACAATATATCTGTAGGTACATAGTACTTTTTGAAATAATACATATCTACATAAATACCTTTGCTGCTGTTGTCTTTTTTGATCAGTGGTGGATACAATGGGGGGCAGGGGGGGGGGTATTGGCTAAATTTTCAAAATCCATGGCCAAAAACAAAAATTGAATGTCGGAAATGTGAAATATTGAATGCTTTCAGCTTTTTTCAAATGAGATGTGCTATATTTGGTTCTATATTCTTGAAGAACATAATTTCTCGATTCCAAAACTATATAGTTTGTCTATATTTTGTTGAGCCGTCTCCAACATATTTGGTTCTAAAAATTTTAAAAACACTATCAGAGAAATCAAGTTCTTAGCTACCTACCTCAAATTTTAGCTGCAGCTTTTACCTGTACAGGTAGAATGGTTCACAAAATCGGTAGTAGGATAATATTTTTACAATTTTTAGAGGCAAATAGGTATATGAGAGATTGCTGAATCAAATATAGATCAGGGCATTGTGTTCTTCAAGAATATAGAACAAATATAGGGCATCCCATTTGAAAAAAGCTGGAAGCATGCAAAATTTCACATTTCTGACATTTAAATTTTGTTTCTGACCATGGGTTCTAAAAATTCAACCAAAACTGTACAACTTTTGTATTTACACCTTTCTTCTACCTGTGAAGGTGAAGGCTGTAGGTGGGGTGTCAATATATAAAAAACACCCTGTACAAATAAGTGGATTATTGCGGAAATTATGGGTGGACCTCGACTCTTCAAAATACTGTTGAACTGTTCAAATAAGACACTCACCTGAAACGTGTAGTTTTTGAACTAATGCGAAAAATTCTCAACTGAGTGAGTCATGTTAGTATTGTACTTGAACAACATATTGGTGAATAGATGGCTGGGTCCACCCATAAGTTCCGCAACAATCCACTCGTTTGTACTTGAATAACTTGTCACAATATATTACTAGATATAGTTTGGTAGAATAAGATTATTAATTTCTGTTGAAAGGCTAATTGACAAAAAGTGGATAATCTTACATATTCTGACTTTATATAATATAATGAGTTATTTTTCAAGTACAAATAAGTGGTTTGTTGCGGAACTTATGGGTGGACCTCTGCGGGACGAGCGCAGCGAGTTCCGCAGCCTATCTAATCACCAATATACTGTTGAACTGTTCAAGTAAGACGTTCATCTGAAACGTATAATTTTTAAACTAATGAGAATAACGCACACTTGAGTAAGTCAGTATATTGATGAATAGATGGCTGCGGAACTCGCTGCGCTCGTCCCGCAGAGGTCCCCCCATAAATTCCGCAACAATCCACCCGTTTGTACTTGAATAATTTGTCACATTATGTTACTAGTTTGGTAAAGTAACGTTACTAATTCCTGTTGAAAGGCAAATTGACAAAAAGTGGATAATCTTACAAATTCTGACTTTATATAATAAGTTATTGTTCAAGTACAGGGTGTTTTTTATATATTGATACCCCACCTACAGCCTTCATCTTTACAAGTACGTGAACGATGTAAATACAAAAGTTGTACAGTATTGGCTAAATTTTTAGAATCCACGGTCAGAAACAAAAATTGAATGTCAAAAATGTGAAATGTTGCATGCTTTCAGCTTTTTTCAAATGGAGGCCCTATATTTGGTTCTATATTCTTGAAGAGCACATTTTCCCGATTCCAAAACTATATAGTTTGTCTATATTTGGTTTGAGTCGTCTCCAACATATTTGGTTCTAAAAATTTTAAAAATACTATCAGAAAAACCAATTACCTACCTCAAATTTTACCTGCAGCTTTCACCTGTATAGGTAGAATGGTTCACAAAATCAGTAAGTTAGTAGAATAGTATTTTTACAGTTTATGCAGCCGAATATGAGAGACTGTTGAAAAACCGTATCTTGCACAATGCGCTGCCAAAACTAACCAAAACTAACCCAATCTGGCTTACTTTAACTTAAACTGCCCCCCTTTCAAAAGGTCTGTATCCGCCCCTGTTTTTGATTGTGATTGATTTTCATCATTATTAAGATAAAGAGATGATGAACAAGGAGTCCAACATAGCATTTTTCAAAACAAATTGAGAAAAAGAAAATAAGATGATTCAAAAATAAGAATAATAAAAATGTCCCAAACACTTCTCGGTCTCCCTTATCACTATTACTACTATACCCACCTATTTTGATTGATTCCACCCTAGTGTCCCTATAGCACACAAAAAATTGTTACAATATCAATATAAAGGCTGAAAAATTCCCTCAAAAATGTCCCGCGGCGAATCGAAAAACGCCCCATCTCTAGGGAGAAAATTTGGTATAATGTATTTTGTTTTGTTCTTATTTTGACCCTTTAATCTCTCGCTGTGAGGGCGTCACCCTGTATAATAAATTGAATTATTAACTCGATGTGAGTTTATTTATCATATGGGAAAGGATTCGATTTATATTTTAATAATCAAATCCCATGAGAACTTGAGACAAATTTTGAATATTTTACATCTACAAATTATAAATAAGTTGCTATGTATGGCTTCTTTTCTGTCGGTTATACCAATAACGACTTTTTCACAGCTCACCTGGCTTTAATATAAAACCACACGTTAATACGATATCAGAGTATCAGTTGCTCCAATAAACATGTAAATAAAAATAAAGTATATTGAATATCAAATTTGTGGTTGATTAAACTCAAACCAACGGCGAAAATATCGTGTTTTCACTTTGATATTATGTGGTTTTCCGTTTCCTTTTTATTACTTGGGTATATTTCTATTTCTATAATACATGCCAGGGAGTTACGATTGAATGTAGCTACACAAATTATTGTCAGCTATGATTCGTTTCAAATAATGAATTAAACATTATAAACTTCAATGTTAGTATTCAAGTCTCCAAGCACGCTTTCTGAAATAATGAAAGGCAATAATGACATAGGTTCTGTATTTAGTATGGTTTCCTCTTCCAATTAATGTGTTTGAGTGGATTTCAAGCCAAAGCCAATGGATGAATGGGGGGGAAAGTACCATTTTTAGTTACTGTTCAAAAACGATATTTTCGGTTGAATAATTAAAAGAGCTAGTGATAACTGAGATCGATTTAATTACATATTATCATTTAGGCGTTCAATGGCCACCCTATATCCTTGTTTTGTCACGTGACCACCCATGTAGAATGGACAAACGGGGGCGCGTGTGCCACGTGTTACGTCTTTACTAACTTAATCCTAGGTTAATTGGAGGGATAACCAGCCCAAAAGATCGTTGAAGCATGAAAAAACTATGTTGTATTACAATGTGATGAATATTAATTACGTAAGATCAGTGAGACTGGTTAGACAAGACAATGACATAAAAATCACGACGAAACTACCCAGACAGCACAGAGGCATCTTAAAGACGTCTGATTACGTCTTCAAGCCGTCTTAAAGACATCTCAAAGACGTCGTATGTTACAAAATCCAACGTCTTTCAGACTTCTGCCTAAAGTCGTCTTCAGGAGTAATATTTCATTATTATTACTCATTTTATAACTTTTAATTTTTGTCTATTCCAGGCGCTAATAAGCTCTCTGAAATAATTCTGAGGTTATTAAAATGTTCTTGAAGCTTTTCAAAATGCTGCTGGAAAGTGTTTTGGAACGTTCTGAATGGCTTATTGAAGTTCTAAATTGTTCTAACTTCTAACTTGACTTGAAGAGTTCTCGAGAGTTCTGGAGCATTCTACAAGTTTTTCAGTAATTTCTAAATTCCGACAGGTTTTTTGGTTTTAAAGTATTTTTAGAGTCCTATTGAAGCTCCAAAGTGTTCTAACTTTGAAGTTTCACAATTGTTCCAAAATGCTCCCAAAAATTCTGATTTGGATTTGAACTGTTTTAGATTTTTTTCCAAAATGTTCTGAAGCGCTACATAGGTAATGCTTTTAGAAATTCTGAAATAAATTTTAAGTGTTTTGAATTTTCCAAAAGGCTTATTGAAGTTCTTAAGTCTTCTGTAGCATTCTAAATGGTTCCCAGTAACTTCTAAATTTTTGTAGGCATCTTGAAGACGTCCCTAAGATATCCACAAACGAC